GCGCCTGGTTCACTGTCAAACCATACCCCCCCCGCCACGTGACCCCCCCCCTCGCGGCCCATCCCCCCAACGAGGCTCTCGGTAAGCGCCCCAAGCCGGTCTGATTGGGCGTCCCCCGGCTGTTGGAGCGACTGCAGATTCGCCAAGCTAAGCAGGGTCTGTTGGTCCAAGTTCCCGAGGGTCCCTGCCAACGACCCCCGGCCCGAGAAGGCCGCCAGATTGCTAAGAGCACCGCGGTTGACGAGCTGCTGCTGCTGGAGGGGGTTGAGAAGGCCCGAGGACGCAAGGGCGCCCAGGCTGGCGGGGAACGACGCGGCGGCGGTCGAGAAGTTGCTGGGCTCCTTCTTGGTGTGCTGCGCCTCCTCGGCTTGGACACCAGAGAGACGCTTGAGGTACAGCCGGTACTTCTGCAAGTGTGGAGTTTGGGGGGCGGTTGCATTTCTTATCGCTGTTGAAACGGCTTTTTAGAAGTTGAAGGCTCTTCCCCTTGGTATCTTCAGCAAGCGCCTTGTATTGAGAAGAAGGGCGTCGAACAGAAGGGTACCCCAAAGCTTGCACCCCAGAACTACACACGCAGCAGCAATACTTCCTTTTCCTTCCCCCTTCCCTACTCTGTCAATGCTGATAACACCAAAAGTCAATGCTTACTGATTTCGCACCAGTCGGACACTCGATCGGATATAACCCAGACTGGTTGCTTCTACAGCTTTGTCACAGGCGATGGAAGCAGTCAACCCAGGATCAAGAGCTGATGCTCTGCTGCAAAGCTCATGCTCATTATCAATCTGGACATGAGACGAGGTTGCCATATGCAGAATCAGAAGGAAGTGCTACAAAAAGAAATCATACCTGTAGATGACTGGCAACGTTCTCCCTTGTGAGTCCCGTAACTTGCATGATGTCGAGAATCCTCTTTGGAACAGCTTCTGCGTTGAGGTGTATCAAGTGTCAATAGAAGTCAAACAGGGGCAGAACAAGAAGAACCATAGCACTTCCAGAGAACACTCTCCTATACAGGTTCACACATCTGATTCTGCTTCCACTTCCAAGGGTGCCTCTGAGTGCCCTTACCCGAGCAGAAAAGACAAAAGCTTCAACCAGGATTATGCTCAGAAACTGCAGGGTCTTCAAAAAGAAGGTGAGGCCTGCCACAATGTGGAACCTTCTACCTTCAACAGCCTTTGGGGCTATGGGATATAGCAAGGACTTTAGTAACTTGAATATTGGATAGTAACATGACACTGTTGAGAAGGAATGACATGAAACTGCTTGGCCCCACAGCAAGGCAAACGCGGCATGGAAGGGAAAGTCTGCAGTCACTCACTATCCACCCCCAGCTGATTGACAGCATGAACGAACTTCTGGTGCAGCTCCACCGACCACACAACGCGCTGCTTCTTCAGGCTTGCCATGTCAACATCATCGTCCTGCCGATCGCTGCCGCCCCCAGAATCAACCTCCTTCCTCTTCTTCCTGTTCTGCGCTGTCTCGGGCGCGCTCGAAATGTCTGCCTCCTCGTCCCGCTTCTTGCTGTTGTCCACGCTCCCCGAATGCTCCTGATCTTTCGGAAGGAGATCGCTGCGCTTCCGACGAATGACGTGCTGCCAGATGTTGCGCAGCTCCTCAATGCGCACCGGTTTCAGCAGATAGTCGCACGCACCGTGCGTGATGCCCTTCATCACGACATCAGTTTCGCCGTTTGCCGACATCACTGCACAAATGAATGCAGAAGCCTCTGAGCTTGGAACTTGCTAACAGACGGAGACAACCAATGCAGGCTGACTTTGTGAACATTCATAATGCTCCAACAAGGCGGCAGTCTCCTTGAGTCGTTCAAGTTGATGGAGTATGCTGATCAGCTCAAACTCTGGGTCAAACAACAAGCACAAGGAGCCTTGGAGCACTCCATTGTGAGCACATGACTTTTGCTGCTAGCATGCTGCAAGCATGTGCCCAGTGTGGCAAGAAAGAACGAGGCCCGACTTTTCAGACATTTTTTCCTGCCGGGTAATCTGAAAGGGCAGAGACCAAGCAAACTTGTAGCCAGTAAGTACCCTGCATTTGAAACTCACTGATGACAGGGAGGTCCATCTCCAGCCCAATGAGCTCCAGCAGCTTGAAACCATCCATGTCTGGCATGTAGACATCGCTGATGACGAGGTCGTAGAAATCCTTCTTCTCACGAAGCATGTTCAGCGCGGCCGTCGCACGCTGGCAGGTGGTCACTGAAGTAGACAGAGGGGAGGGTAATCAGGACATAAGAGCAACTGCTAACAGATAGTGAACGGCTAATTGCCTAGGACCATCCAAGCACAGCCCTGAAAGTCCTGCAAAAAGGACAGACGAAATTGTCTCGATACTTGAAGAAGAGTGCCTAGTGAGGACCGCTGAGGTTGGGCCCTTTCGACACAAAGATGCTCCCCTCATCACCAGCAGATGGGGAGGATTGGGTGAGCCAGGACGAAAGGACGAGAAAAAGCGAGAGGAAATTGCTCAAATGCCACAGAAGCACACAAAAATTTGTAGGTGCATAGTAGACAGCTTGACGGTAATCTTCTCCAAATTGCCTCCAGATTATTGCATCCCCCATGCAAAGCGCTTAAAACATTCTCACCAGCAAAAGCGGGCTAGCAGCTGACTTTTGTCAGCACATCACACATAAACGTCAACTTCGTAATGAGACAAGCTGCCTCATAGGAGAAGGTATGCCAGAATGGTGGTCTCTTGGGTCTCTCAGTCATCTCCTTTGACCTTCACCAATGCCCACCCGAATTATCACAACAACGTAGTATGTCAGCCTACCCCTAGAACAAACCTCTGCCAAAAATTGTAGTCGGCTGTCCGATGAAGTGCAAAAGTCCGTAGCAGCCTTGGTAAAGTCTGCCTTTGGCTTTAAGGACCAGATACCAAGAAGAGCTTTCAATAATCGCAGAGAATTACTGTACTTCGAGAGTGTATCAATGCTTTGAAAAACTGCTCTATTGGTATCTCTGACGACAACAAGCCCACCTTGCCAAGAAATGCTGAATGCCAACAATTCTTGAAGTTGGAGCTGTGAACAGTTCTAGGAATCAGGTGCATAGAGAGGCTATCAACAAAGCTGGCTGCTGGCTTTGGCTCGAAATCCGCTTTGCGATCATAGATGGCTCTCAAACAATCCTCAGAGTCAACACCTGCCATGCCTGGCTTTTCGAACGTGCAAAGCATCCCCATGTTCAGAGTGCTGAAAACCTCCGCTCAAAATTGCACAGAGCAGTTTTTGTACAACTGGTTGGCAACAAGCATAGGGAGAGCTCATAAGAAACAAGAGCAATCAATATTATACGAAAGAGTTAGCATATCCAAATGCAGGAGGAAATATGGTAACACAATCCCCGCAACAACAATTTGCGGCGGGGCCTATGAAGATGCAAAGAATCACAATGGCTAAACTGATCAAAAAGATTATCACCTGTGTACTGGCATCTCCTTAGCATTCTTTCAAGGATCATCAAACACAGTGGGTCGTCATCCACAACCAACACCTTCATTCCCACTGGGAACTGGTCGCTCTTGGCTGACTCAGAGGCCATGATGGCTTGACTATATTATTCAACGGGTTGTAACGTACCCTTAAATGCTACCCTTAAATGCTACCCTTAAATGCTACCAAAGTGTTGGCTTCTCAAAAGAATGCCCTTGAATTTGTAAGGCCCTGCCACCACATGCTTTTGATATGAGCAGTTTTGGGCCCTTTTGGCAGGATGCCATGAAAATGCTTGAGAGGGAAGTTCAATTATACCAGGTGAGCTAAAAGAGCTGCCTCGAAGGCGTCAGCTGTTTCCTACTTGCAGACGGGTACCATACCAACACACCTTTCCGAGCATTTGAAAAGCCCCGCTTACTCGGCGTCATCAAAAACCAGGCCTGACGACTATTTGCAACCAACTTGGAACAAATATGCAAACAGCTCTGTTGGAAACCAACGGATGGATGGACAGCCAGCTACATGCGCTCTAGCTCCCTACCAGCATGCCCCTCTCGCCGCTCATGAGAACTTGAACGAAGGGACTTCAAGGGAGAATAGCAGCCATGGTGCCGCCAAGATTCACGAGCGTCTAGGTAGCAGCTACTTAGAAGCGTGTCGTGGGCTGTCGTCTTCAAAAGACTCGAGGCCAGTCCACAATAATTTCTGCTGTGCATATGATAGGCAGCACTGAGCACTGCACAGTGCACACCAGTGGTGAGCAGTGCAGTGGCATTGCGCACCGCCCAGGATTCCGGTACCTGACAAATGACTGTTTGCAAACTTACAAGGTACGTACCGGAGACCGGCTCCATTTGTGACCGTACACGGTTTAGAAACGGTTTACAAGTGGTTTATACGTGGTTTAGATTCTAGAAGTGGCTAGCCGCTCATCCTTTGGGTACCTATTTTATTGCGGCAGGCCTCTGAAAAAGACTAGGTAGATCTAGAAAGGAAGAGGAGCCCCGGGCACGTCAACTACTGGAAATTTGTATAGGTTATCCAACGAGTGCGAGAGAATATCGAAGTTTCGCGTCGAACGAGAGCGGATATTCCACGAGGGCCTCCGAGGCCCGAGTGGAATATGAAGCTCGAGTTTGACGCGAAATCTTCGATATGCTCGAGCACGAGTGAGGGTAACCGACTTATCGCACGACCGGACTCTGATGCATCGTCGAACCTGGTAAGGGTCTCGCGTTTAGTCAACGGCTGAGCGTTGAATAAACATATATATTCACCGCTGGGGTCGCCAACGGTATTCGACGCCGAAACTTTACTGATACTCAACGCCGAAATGGCTGAGCGCAAAAACCGGTCGTGGGATAACAAACAAGATCCGCTTCGGGGTACGAACCAGCTCAAACTACCTACTGCGTTTGAATATCTATACTGCAGCGGTAATTAACCTAAATTTTCGAACTAACCCTGACCATCCCCCGGGTACCTTTCGTAGCTTTCAAAATACAACAAGTACGGTCTTGAAGTGGAGTACCGGTATCCGCGGACCGCAGGTCCTGGTACGTTGCTTTGACGTCACACGTGTGACTCGTATGAACATGGAATTATAACCCGTTTGTAACGTCGTCATGAAAGGGACTTTTCTTGGTGATCGTCGCGCACATATGGTTCGTACTTCATATGTACGGTACCTACCGTCGGTAGCATACCGAGTCCCGACCGTAGGCATGCATGGACACTACGGTAGTACGGTAGGCTGGCAGTGCTCACTGCTGAGTGGACGGCAGAGGCACACTCAGCCCGGAGCCGAAGCTTGAACAGCCTGGGTAGGTACCTACCGGCTATGCACCTTGCCAGGTACCTACCGTAGCTTCCCCAAGCAGTGGCAACTGGCAAGTTGCAACTTGCAAGCCTACTAGTACAAGAGTGACCAATTACCGTAGTACGTACAGTAGAAAGATCCTGTTGGGAGAGACGAAGAGATTGTGTCCGTCGATCTGAATCTTACATTGCAATCGACGGACCTTGAATAGCCGCGCTTGCCTTTCTTGTCTGACAAATTCTCGATCTTTTGTGTCAGAAATTGGAAGACATTCATGATTCAGCTTGACGTCCGCATGAAATGTGAACAGCACGCGCGTGCCGGAAAGAGGTACCGTACAGTTACGGGTACCAATTATTACGGTACGGTCCGTATACCGGTACCGTCTTTGCGTTGGTCGCAGATGGGAGGTACGTACTGGGGCGGAAGGTACGAGTACCACTAAAACTTCAAGTTCGAGGGTTTCAACTTTCAAGTTTCAACCCTTCGAAGTTCGAGGGGTATCAATGTGCGCGCGCTCCTCCAGGTGTCACCAGCCGCAGGAAGATATGGTGGCGGCGGCTGTGGCTGGCAGGCGGCTCCGAGTCCAAGTTCCTCAACTCTGGCGCCATTATGCAGGGGGTTGGTGCTCCTTGAGCGCAGATTGGTGGGACATTTGAATCCTTGGTGGGGCAGGTCGGACGGAAGCAGGGGATGCAGGATTGTAGGAACAGGGAACTGCATCTGGTTCCTGAATGCATGGATTTGAAAGGCATTGGCGGCATCAGATGCTCTCACATGAAGCATTGAAGGTTCTCACAATTCTGAAACTTTGGGGCCGAGTCTCCTTCCTTTTTGTCTTTGGTCGAGTAGACTCGAGCAGCAGTCTCCTTCTTGTTGTCTGAAGACTGCCTTCCTCTGTCAGGGAAGTGCAGAGTCCTGTCCTGCGCGAATGTTTGTGGAGAGGCGCCACAGTAGGATTAGTGTAAAGGACTCGTTAAGAAGGTCAAGTCCTGTCATAGGCCGCCTTTGCAACATCTACACTAGGGTTGTAATCCAAGATACATCGAGACCGTGTAATCTTGAACAAAGCGTTGCGATACCAGGCTCTTGGCGCTTTTAGGGTTTGAGCGACCTCGCGGAATGTAGAGTACCACGGGGCTTGCCGCTTCGAGATCGTCGATCCGCCAGCAGGCCTGGGCTTCCAAAGTTAACGGCAGTCCGCTTCGCAACTGAAGATCTCGCATTTCGTCATTAGAGAAGCTGCGAGCACTTCTTTAGGGAAAGCAGCTCAATGGGGTGCGTCACCAGCAAGGCAGTGGACGCCAGCGGCCACCCGGAGCCGCCCCCCACCACGCAGGGCCATAGCAACCCCCCTTCCGCAGTGACGAGCCTCCCAACCCTAAAAGGCGCCTCGAAAGTCGCGAAATCCTCTAGCTCGCTGGTTGATGCGCTGGACCTAAGTGGTGCTTCTGGCCTCTCCGGGCCCCCAAAACGGCCGCTGCTGCTGGAGGGGGGGGTGGCAAAACCGGCCATGCCGGTCTCGGGGCCCACAGTCGTAAAAGTGCCCGGCGCTAGTTATGCCCTCCGTTATGCCGCCCTCTCGCAGCGGGGTTACTACCCGGACTCTCCGGATAAAGCCAACCAGGACGCGTATACTATCCGAGCGCCGTACGGCGGGAGTGCGGATGACCATTTCTTTGGGGTCTTTGACGGTGAGCGGAGGGTCTAGCTCAGCTTTGTATTGCATCGGTTTGAAGGACCACTTTGAGCTTTTTCATTTTATGTTGTAAGTCGCTTGCCTGCGGATAGCAACGTGGGTTATGGAAGGATCACACGTTGTGGCGTCGTGCGCGTAAGGCTTGCTCTCGCCTCATCTTTGCCCTGCTTTGATTGAACATCGCGACCGTGGTCTATTCAGCCAACTCGTTTGGCTGCTCTCAACCAAAGTTTTGCCTGCCAGGTCACGGTGAGAACGGCACTGCGTGTGCCGTGTTTGCCAAAGACCGCATCCCTGACAACCTGGCCAAAAGCAAAATGTTCCGAGGGGACGTAGTGCAAGCATTCCACTCCAGTTTTGTGCAAACCAACGCTCAGATGCACCGGTCCGCACTGGACGACTCCATGAGCGGAACCACAGGCAAGCATCTCTTACTTCGGAGCCCACTCTTATCATACAGGTGGAGCCACAGGCCAAGCCTGGATAGTTCTTCAGCATAGCTGCGCCTCCGCTCGACATCTAGTTTTTTTGCCCGCTTACAGTTCTGTTACATCAGCTCACACAAGTGTTCTGATTGAGTAAGAGCTTGCTCAGATTGTCCAACTCTTGCAGCTCAGGCGCACTACTGTAGTAGACGGGTTTCTTTCAAGTCGGATCCTTATCAATATCTTATGTTCTGGTCGAAGTCAACGAGGCTCCGACCTTTTGGATTGGTTTCCCGCAGCATTGGATTTTCAGAGATCCTTGAACATCTGCAGACAGCCAGATTACGAAAGGTTCGTCAAACATATCGGGCCGTGATTTGATTGCACCGTATGGTCCCGTGCAGGTATCACGGTGCTCGTGCGCGGGCGCACCCTCTACTGCGGCAACGTGGGCGACTCCCGCGCCGTCCTTGCGGAGCGGAAGGGCAAGAAGCTCGTTGCCGTCGACCTCTCCAGCGACCAGACCCCCTTCCGGGCCGATGAGTGCGAGCGTGTTCGACTATGCGGCGCTCGTGTCTTGACACTCGATCAGCTTGAGGGGTTGAAAGATCCCAATGTGCAGACGTGGGGCGGAGAGGAGGACGATGATGGGGATCCCCCTCGGCTGTGGGTTCCGAATGGGATGTATCCTGGAACAGCGTTCACGAGAAGCATAGGGGATAGTGTTGCGGAGCGGATTGGGGTGAATGCGGTCCCGGAGGTGCGGACGTTGGATCTGACGCCAGCGCACGCGTTCTTCGTGGTGGCGAGCGACGGCGTCTTTGAGTTCCTATCCAGCCAGACGGTGGTCGACATGGTGAGCAACTAGAGCAGCTTTTCTCGTGTGGAATGAACCTGAACGCTTTGATGTTCCCTCAAATTCCATCTTCTCTTTGAGTTGACAATGAGCGTTTGCCGAATGGAGTCGTTCATTGAGTGTCTGCCAGCTCCGAATCGACCCCTGGAGTCGCTGGCGCCTTTTACGGGCAACCCGGACCTCCTTTAAAGGTTACGACCTTTGACTCGAGCCTCGAATCAGCTGACACTGAGGAGCTTAGCCACTCGTTTCAGCCAGTTGGAATTGTTGGCCAAGTGCAATGTGTGACAGCAAATCTTGCTGCGCCTCGTGCAAAGTTTTAATCAAGTTTGCTTCCACAATTTTCACGACTTGGTGTATGAACGAACATGCGATTCTCATCGGGACTTACTCTTGCGGTTGCTGAAGGATGTCCTGCTAGGTCATGGCCGACTTCAGTGTGCGTCTTGAAGGCAGAGGAGTCGCCAAACTGCTCTTCTGAGCATGGGAGTCAAAGCAGGCAACAAGCTGACACCTGGCCTTGCTCCTGACCTGCATTCGCATTTGCAGGTGAGCAAGTTCGAGAACCCGCAAGACGCGTGCGCGGCGATCGTGGCGGAGTCGTACCGGCTGTGGCTGCAGTATGAGACGCGCACGGATGACATCACGGTCATCATTGTGCACATCGATGGGTTGGAGGAGGTGAGCCGACCACACGTGCGTCCTCCCTTCTACATTCTTTGCTTCCGGTACTGAGCTGGATGGACGCCCCTCGGCTTCTGGGGATCGAGTGCTGATGAGTTTCCCTGTCCATCTTACTTTTGGCACTGGAAGCCCCGCCGATCCTTTTAGCGACATAGGCTGGGAGAAGGGGCAGATCACCCCTACATTTCATTTGATAAAGTACTCCTCAATTTTCGACAGCTGATTGTTCGCGCGCCCACTAAAATCAATCTCTACATATTTCTCCTTCCTAGCATCTTCGCGTTACAGCCGGATCGTGCTCCTTGTGACCAATCTCCGATCCTGGGCTATCCTCTCCAAGATTATGCTGTTCCAATCAAGTCCGTCAAGAATCTCCCATTCTGAAAGAAGATCTTCTCCATCTTCTAATCAACAACCTCATATCTTGAGAAAAACACGACCTCTGCTCCAGGTCGTACCTCCCTCGTCTCAGCTTCCGGGCCAAGTGTTGGCCCCTCCTTCCGCCGCCCCCACCGTCAAAGCTGCCCGCTCCTCAGTGGTCCGGCCCCTGTCCCCAGCGCGACCCGTGCGGCGAGGCCCCTCGAAGGCGCGGCGAGCGTCGATCGAGCGGGAGGGAGGGGTGGAGCGAGAAGTGCCCACTGGGGCGGAGGAGGTTGCATGGGTGCCCCATCCGCAGGCAGAGAAACCTTCGGTGAGGCTTCCGCTCTAGTTCCATCGCAGGTTTGGGAGGTTTTTTCAAGCGGCGATACTGCTTTGCAGGAGCTACTTACGGCTGCCTTTCAGCAGACTTGTTGCGCTGTTGCCAGCGCCTGATAGTTTCTGCTTGTTGTGCGTAGGATGGGGCGCCTTGATAGCAAGCGTCAAGTTTGATACAGAAAGGATGAAGCTGAGCGATAAAGTCCAAAAAAGCCGTTTATAGGCTGGCAAGCTTTACAAGAACTCTTCAGAAAATTTCTTCTCTGGTCAGTGTTTCCTTGAAGGAAGAAAAGGAGAGGCTGATCGGCCGCAGCATGCAGCCAAAATCCGAGATGACAAGATGATACGCGTAGGTCAAGCGTACAGTCCGCTGTTTTGCAGGCGCGCATCATGTCGGCTGTGAGGGCCAACTTCTTGTTTGCCAGCCTGAACGAGCGTCAGATGCGCATGGTGCTGGACTCGCTGGCAAAGGTCCCCGTGGCAGCGGGAGAGTTCGTCATTCGGAGAGTGAGCACCCGCAGCTTTCGCGTGCGCACGTTTGAAGAAGTTTAGCTAGGCACTTGCTGTTCGGTGCAACGGATTGTCCCACACGTAGAGAGCTGTTGTGCCGGGGGTCCCCTTTCCGCAGGTCACAGTTGCCTGTTCAAAACGTCCTTCCATGATGTTTGAAAGTTCGTCAAAAGTCGTTCTTGTGGCGAGTGTATGCAACTTCGGTGAATTTTCACCAGGTTGCCCGAAATCCCTTATAACCCTTTCCTAACTCTCACAAGACTGGTCTTCGCTTTTTCAGCTTACTGGTCTCAGAATCGTCTCGAGTACGTCTATCTTATTGCTCGCTTCTTGTGGCGCAGGGGGACATGGGAGACCGTATGTACTTTGTCGAGGAGGGACAGTTCGAGGTCTTGAAACCGGAGGTACGTCACCGTTGTTACCAGCATAACACCCTTTTCGGGGATACAGCCTGAGGTTCCTCGTAGCTCCGTTTTGTCTTCCCATGACGTTGATCGCCCCATTTGCTGAGATTCCTCGTACTGTCCGTCCTGCAAGTGTCACGGTTGTTCCGAAGGCGCCAGTCAATAGACTCTGCGCATTATCGCTGATGTTGTAAGCTAGCTTTTCCCCAGAGATACACACCTGTTGTCGCCTCCCATGTCTCAGGATTGCAGGGCGTTCCTCCGGGGTGGAAGTTGTTCTATCCCGACCGTCTTTCATAACCTGACAGTTCTCCCGGCACTTTGTTTTGCTGCAGCCCTCTGCCCCTGCTAGCGAGCTGGGACCAGTGGTGCACACATATACCTCCCAAGGCAACCCCTCCTTCGGTGATCTTGCGCTGATGTAAGCACGTTCCCATTCTGGGCAGATAGCGCGCTGATTAGGCAAGGATGTCTCCCGGGCGTGTCGAGTCTGATTGAACGGTGTAAGTAAGAACTCCATGGAATGGTCCCCTTTGAGTTAATCATGTCAAATCGTTCTGTTGGCAAACCGGACCAGCGCTGTTATATGCATGGAGGTTGTCAGTCGGCCAGGTCTTATCGCGGGAGAAGTTGGAAGAGGTTTTTGTCCTGAGAGTTACAGCAAGCCTTGCGAGGTGGTGACTGCGGGCGTGCTGTGACCGCTCGCTCATTCAACTCTTTTCAACCCTTCTTCTTAAATCTCTTTGGATGTCGGGATACTTTTGTAGAACTTGGTAAGGGTCCATCATCCTGACGTTTCATTCGGTCTACCCAAACCAAAGCAGTCAGTCTACTGAGACCAAAGCAGTATGCTGAAGCAACCCAAAAACTCCCCAGCTTTCAAGTACTACGTTAAAGCACGAGCTGCAGTCCTTCCAATCTGCGGATAAGACATCACTGTTTAAGGGTCTTTACACACAGGGCGGGTGTTCTTTTTCGCAACT